ACCTCTCCCTCTGTCACCTGTCCTCTGTCCCCTGTCCCTGTGTCCCCTGTCCATTGTCACCTGTCCCTGTGTCACCTGTCCCTGTGTCACCTGTCCATTGTCACCTGTCCCTGTGTCACCTGTCCATTGTCACCTGTCCGTGTCCCCACCCCTGACACCCGAGGGTCACTCAGGGTGTGACAGCGACAAAGAGTGGGAACACCCGGGCACGGCACGCGGTGACATCGGTGACAGCGTGACACCGTGACACGGTGACATCGGTGACATCGGTGACACCGTGATATCGGTGACATGGTGACACAGTGACACCCCACAGTGACACAGTGACATCAGTGACACGGTGACACGGCACGCGGTGACATCGGTGACACTGTGATATCGGTGACATGGTGACACAGTGACACCCCACAGTGACACAGTGACACCGTGACATCAGTGACACGGTGACACGGTGACATCGGTGACATCGGTGACACCGTGATATTGGTGACACGGTGACACAGTGACACCCCACAGTGACACAGTGACACCGTGACACCGTGACACCGTGACACGGTGACATCGGTGACATCGGTGACACCGTGATATCGGTGACATGGTGACACAGTGACACCCCACAGTGACACAGTGACACCGTGACATCAGTGACACGGTGACACAGTGACATCGGTGACACCCCACAGTGACACGGTGATGTCAGTGACACTGTGACACAGGTACACAGTGACACCGTGACACAGTGACACCGTGACACAGTGACACCATGACATGTTGACACCCCACGGTGACACCGTGACACAGTGACACGGTGACATCAGTGACACGGTGACACAGGTACACAGTGACACCTGACAGTGACACCGTGACATCAGTGTCGCCCCACGGTGACATTGGTGACATCAGTGACATGGTGACATGGTGACATCAGTGCCATCAGTGTCACCCCACAGTGACACAGTGACATCAGTGTCACCCCACAGTGACACAGTGACATCAGTGTCACCCCAGGGTGACACAGTGACATCAGTGTCACCGTGACATTGGTGACATCAGTGACATGGTGACATGGTGACATCAGTGCCATCAGTGTCACCCCACAGTGACACAGTGCCATCAGTGTCACCCCACGGTGACACAGTGCCATCAGTGTCACCCCACAGTGACACAGTGACATCGGTGTCACCCCAGGGTGACACAGTGACATCAGTGTCACCCCAGGGTGACACAGTGACATCAGTGTCACCGTGACATTGGTGACATCAGTGACATGGTGACATCAGTGCCATCATTGCCACCCCACGGTGACACAGTGCCATCAGTGTCACCCCACGGTGTCACCATTTGGGGGAATTTGGGGTTTTTGAGGTGTCACAGGAGGGTTTTGGGGACATTTGGGGGAATTTGGGGGAATTTGGGAGGAATTTGGGGAAATTTGAGGGGAATTTGGGGGAATTTGGGGGAATTTGGGGAAATTTGGGGAAATTTGGGGAAATTTGGGGAAATTTGAGGGGAATTTGGGGAAATTTGGGAGGAATTTGGGAATTTGGGGGGAATTTGGGGTTTTTGAGGTGTCCCATGAGAGTTTTGAGGAGATTTACGAGGAATTTTGGGGAATTTGGGAGGAATTTGGAGGATTTGGGGGTTCTTGAGGTGTGACATGAAAGTTTTGGTGACA